AAAAAAAGAAAAAAGCTAGTAACTTACTAAGACAACAGAATCTCGAGCAGCAATGGCTAATATATCCGCACATGATACAACTCCACTACATGCGTTCTCCACAGCGCTTTTTATTGCATCCACAACTTCAAATCCTCTTGCAGAGTTGAGATTAGCGAGAGCAAACTTCTCAGTAGTATTGTCTCCATCCAACAAAACTGATGCATCACAACCCTGTGAAGAAGGGAAAACATATGATGATTATGTTGGATTAATAATTGTTGCTTTTTCAAATTTCACAACTAAAGCAAAATAAAGTATTAAAGAGTAACCAAATAACAAAGCTGCTGCTTTCGATCAAAAGCACAGATTACACCCAAATTTAAATATGAAGTCTAAGGGTTTCCCAAGGCATATCCCAGTACTTAAGACTAAATTAATTAATCATTAAGCTATAATGAAATAGTAACCAAAATTGTTATTTCAAACTCACATTCACAAAGCAATCATGGAAATGAAGGCGAAGGAGAGAAGCTGCCATTCGCATCTCAGTCTTGACAGCACTCTGAACTTGTCTCCGGACTATTGAAAGAAGACTTGGACATGTTTTAGAATAGAAATCAGTGGTAAGTTGGGACCTCACAGCTACACAATGCATAAAGCAAATTATAAGCAGAGAATAACCCTTAAAGCTGTTTGACCTCTTCATGCCTGCCATATCAATTTCTGTACAGCTAAAGTGTGTGACAGTTAGGGAAATCGTAATGCTAGGTAGTAATTAACAAGCTTAAGGGCCAAGGCTGATATGCATGAGAAATCTTTCGAGCTCTATTTATAATCAGTATCATGAATGAATTTGCAATTTTAAATGCCATTATTAAGTAATAAATGATCAACTTCACAGCAAAGTGGTGGTGATGTATGATGGCTTCTGGTGATGTATGACGGCTTTAGATAAGACCACCTAAGTAAGGACTTTAGGATCAACTTTTCATTCATCTTATAATTTTATGATAATAATATAATTAATTATATTAAAAGTATACAAAAATTAAGATAATTAATAAAATATCTGCATATTCTTTCATGTCTAACAAATATTTATTTTCTCTCACTTACATATAAAATTTCTATAAATTAATACACTGATCATGAAAATTTATTAATTAATCAAGATATTTTTTAATCAATAAATTAATAATTTATTAATTCATATATTAATTAATAAAAAATTAATTTATCAAGGTATTCTTTATTTTCAAAACATTGAACTTAATCTATGTGTTGTATATTGTGATTATACAAATATTACCTTATTATCGAATTATGATATATCATTATTTTATGTATTTATTTAACCAAAACAAATCCATTTAGTGTAATTAGCTTTATTAAATTGAAGTCATAAATCTATCCATTTTTGTAACAAACTAAAATTACATTTGATGTATACTTAATTAATATATTTGATAAATATTAAGTCGAGCATAAATATCTATAAAAAAAACATATAGTATTATAAACGGTTAAACTAAACACAATGACTTCTCACTTCAAAAGTGTAAAGAAATGAACGATGACAAATGAAATGCATAAAGCTTTGTGTTAGTACAATATAGAAAATTCAAATTGCGTCTTACAACAGTGAGTGTAAGAAAAGTTTTAACTTGCAAGCGAGTCAAGCAATAATATCAAATACAATTAAGAGGTCATCAAAGTATTTATCAACCAACATTGAAAAAGGTGATGCCAAATTACACAACCGCAAAATTCCCAAAGCTAGAGAATGTTCTCTATGAGTGGTTTGTTCAATACCAAGAAAGTTAGAGATAAGATCTAATGAAACATCAATTTCAAGAAAAATAAGTAGCATTAGAGTTAATATTTTACAAAAACCTTATAATTGAGTCATGTATATATATATATATAATTTTGATATATAAGGAGATTATTAATTTATATATCAAATGAGACCTATTTTTTTAAAATGTATTATTGTCTAAATTTAATAAATTATAAAAATATTATTTAATTAAGGTTATTAATTTATCAAGTATTAATTTGTAGAGATTTACTGTAATTCTCAACTATTTATCTCATTTCTCATTAAAAATACATAAAAGTCAAAATAATTAATAAAATGACATATTCTTTCACTTTACTAATTATGTGCCTAATAAATCTTAATTTTTTATTACCTTTCAATTCCCACAATGTAATTTATTCTCAACTATTTCTCCTATCCAATCAATTAAGAATAATATGTATTTAATGATCTTCAATCGCTATTTTTTTTTCTATTTATAAAATTAATGGTTTTTTTTAATTTATAATATCCACTCATGAATTTTCTTCCTCATTGATTCTTTCTTCCTTAACTTCAATAAAAAAAAAAGACCACATTTTCTTAATTTCAATAAAAAGCCAGTATTTAAATAATTAATTTGATGTTTTTGAGATTATTGAATTGTCTGTCTATAGTACAGCTAGTGTTCACAAGACTGCACTGAGTCAGATATGTGCATAAACTTACAGATTACCAGATATAATATAGCAGACCTTGCAGATAGCAAACAAGAATGGTGCGTTAATAGTTATCAGATTGCATATATTATTATAAGGTATTTGCATGCAACAAGTTCATGCATTAATGAAAAGCAATAAAGATAGCAGCATAGTGCTGAGAGGAAAGCTAAAGCCTTTTTGCTACCACTTTGGCGCATGATTAAATCATGCATGCATTAAATAGGTTCAAACTTTATCTTCCACGAGCATTAGCAGTCAGGTAAGTTTAGACAATTGGCCACGGATTCATATCTGCCCGTTGATTTTGATGCTTCGACTCAACAGATATATATTCTTAGTTGTTTAATGGAGCAGTAAGTGAGTTTGCCTAGCATATTCTTGAGCATCCAATTAGAGTTGCAGCTTGACGCTGACAGTGGTTGACTATCTGAATGATGTGTAAGGCATTATGCAATCTTCTTAAATTCTTTGAAACTGAAGGGACCAATTCTACAAGAAGCAGCATCTTGAAGCATTTAATTCTTTTTGGTACATAATTAACTTGAACCACAAAACACCTAGCTTCTCATTCTTACATAAAAACTTACAGCCTTTGCTGGGCTTGGTAATATTGAAGTTTGAATTTGGAAGAAATCCTTAAGTTACCAACAGAGATATTGCCTGTGACAGGGGTGATGAGTGAGCTAGCTAGGACTGGGACAAGAAGCCCAACTAGCTCCAAATCATGGGTTATAATAGAAACTCCTTTGTCTAATTTGTCTTTGAAATCCTGATGTTGGTTTGGCTTCCACCTTCATTCTTGTGGCTAATTATTTATTCATGATGGAGTACTGAACCATTCAAAGAAAAGGCATGCTGGACTTCGAAACGTGATTAAAAAGATTATGGCCCTAGACAAACTTATCCTTTGGTGAATACAACTAGAATTCCATGTCATATGGCACATGTCTTTCGTTAATTGGCAATGCTAAACAGAGCCAAAGTTTACAATAACTCAATTTGTTCCCACTCAAACTACTTCTTTTCTATGGATGACTGCTGATTTTATAACATAAAGCTATTTAGGTTCAATTTTGATAATAATTTAGCTTAGTTCTTCTAATAATATGTAAAAATTAATAAATTTTATTTAATTATTTTAAATTAGTTATTTTAAGTGAGTCAATTTAATCTTAGTTAATTTTATCTTAATTTGGTGTTAATATGGTTAATATAGATTGTTATTGATCTAATTGTGCTTTTGTAAATGTTCGATGAAAGAAGAATTTTAATGGAAGAATGAGAGCAATTTTAAGATGCGGACTTCCACTGCACATGTTTCGATATTTCAGCCATAACTCTCTCCATAGAGATCCAAATGAGATGATTCTTGGACCATTGAAAAACTAAGAGAAAAAATTACAACTTTACCAAGTTTAGCTTAGATGATGGTCAAAAATCTAGTTAAATTTGACACACTGTAGCAGTCCTAGAGCAAGTATGATTTCTATTAATTAAGTGGGCAAGACTGGAACCCACATAGTCTGATGAGGAAATCCTAGCTGAAATTGACTTCTTTCTTTACCTAACTTGGCCTAACTTCAATGCCTATAAAAACAACCTTTCAGAAAACTTTTAAGAGAAGAGGAGAAGAGAACGAAATATCAAATTAACAGTTGAGAGTCAAATCACAAAGTCATTGAAGCTTAGAATAATTTGAAGGATTCAAGGAGATTTGGAGATCAAGAATACAATTCGTAAGTTTTTATATCTTTTCTTTTATTCTCTTATTCTCTTGTTTTATTTTTAATGTTAAAATTTTATTTAATGATGATGTGTGACTTGATGAGGAACTAATTCATTAATCTAAGAGTGTGAATATGTAGTCTGAATTATTTATCTCTCTTTTGCTTATGTTTGATGGATTTAAGTTATTTATTTTATTCTATTCTTTACGCTTCCAATTAACTAGCTATCATTTAGATTGAATTGAAAACCTAGGTTAAACCTTGACGGAGGAGATTTAGGTAAACGTTGAATAGAATAGCATATGATCGAATGCACTTAGGAGAGTAGGTGGTTTGATTTGCATATAGAATAGACATATACATATAAGCTAGACATACACATATAAGCCATACGTAACTAAAATTAGAGTACAAACTTAATCAATCTTTTTCAATTTAATTTGCATAGACATATAGTAAATTAATTGAAAAATGTATTTTTATGAGAAACTCGAGAGAGACTTGTGAATAATTTAGGACTCGAAGTTAGCAACTTAATCCATTAAACTGAGTTAAGAGAGAGAGATAATAATCAGATGAAATATAAAGGGGTATTATAATCTTAGGTCTAGTAATCATTAGAAGTAAATTTGCTAATATATTAGTTTTAGTTATTAGTTTATTAGTTTTAATTTTTTTTTAATTTTAATTATGTAGATAAAATTAAGGTGTGTTAATTTTAGCAGTTAATAATAAGGATTAATTCAATTCTCTGTGGGATTGATACTCTACTCATTTTTATATTATCTTTGCGATACGTATACTTCCTTGAGTAAAAAATTAAATAACAAGTTTTTGGCGTCGTTGTCAAGGTATTGATTTTTAGTTCTTTCTTATTAATATTAATACTAAGCATTCTTAATTTTAATCTAAACTTTTCTTTTCTTTAATATTTTAGGTACTTGTGGTCGTTGTATGCAAAGAGTTCGAAATTTGAAAATTGTTCCTTTTGATGCAGCAATAGAAAAGACTTTTCAAAGACTTCAGAGGAAAAATAAAAAAGTTTTTGCTCCAAGTAAAACAATGGCTAATCAACAAGAAGAAGAGACCAAGCCTTTGAGGGATTACTATGTCCCACAAGTACAAAATCTCCACTCTAGTATACAAAGACCTCCTATTCAAGCCAAAAACTTTGAAATTAAGCCATCAATTACTTAGATGATTCAAGCTGTTGTTCAGTTTGGTGGTTTGCCTAATGATGATCCGAATGCTCATATTGTAAATTTTCTAAACATTTGCGATACATTCGAGGTTAATGGTGTTACTGATGATGCCATAAGTTTGAGATTTTTCCCTATTTTATTGAGAGATAAAGCAAAGAGTTGATTAAATTTGCTTCTTGCTGGTTCCATCAATACTTGGGATTATTTGGCTCAAAAATTCTTAGCAAAATTCTTTCCACCTACTAAGTCAGCAAAGATGTGGAATGATATCACTTCTTTCATGCAATTTGATTATAAATCACTATATGAGGCTTGGGAAAGGTATAAAGATTTGATAAGTTGTCCTCACCATGGATTACCTAAGTGGATGCAAGTTCAAACTTTTTATAATTGTTTGTTGGGACCTTTTAGAACTATCATTGGAGGTGCACTTTTAAGTAAATCCATTAATGGGGCTTATGATTTGCTTAATGACATAGCTTCTAATAATTATCAAAAGCCATCTGAAAGATTAGGTAAAAGAAAAATTGTTGGAATTCATGAATTAGAAGTGATAAACACTATTTTTGCACAATTGGCTTCTCTCACAAAGAATATAGATAAACTAAGAGTTAATACTATTCATAACTCCTTTATGACATGTGAATTTTATGGGGAAGGACATTCCAATGACAATTGTCCAATCTATTCTGAGTCTTGTCAATTTGTTAGAAATAGGCAACAAAACAATCCCTATTCCAACATTTATAATTCTGGTTGGACGAATCATCCTAATTTTTCATGAAATAACAACCAAGGGTCTTCATCAGTAGCTATGTCCAGCTTTCCTCCTAGATTTCCATTTAGAGCCCATTTGCTAAAGAGAAAACCTTCAATGGAGGATATGATCATGTAGTTCATGACAAAGACTGATACTTTCATGACAAAGACTGATACTTTCATAATGAAGACTGATGCATTTATGATAAGGACTGATGCCTCCATTCAAAATCAAGCAGCTTCAATTAGAAATCTTGTGACACAAGTGGGCAACTTGTTAGTGCTTTAAATACTAGACTTCATGGTACCTTACCAAGTGATACTAAACCCAACCCAAGAAAAAAATGGTAAAAACATTGTATGGCAATCACTCTCTGCAATAGAAAAAAGATACGTAAAGAGGTAAGTAACAAAGTTTTAAATTCAGAGATTTCAATTCAATCTGATGAAAAAGAAATTGAAAAAATTACTAAAACAAAAATTATGGTTGAAAAATCTATTAAAAATTTAAAAGAAAAATCACAATTAAAATCTGCTCCCACACCTCTACCACCTTTCCCTCAACTTTTTTAAAAGAAAAAACTTGACAAACAATTCCAGAGATTTATTTAAGTATTTAAAAAGCTGCACATTAATATTATTTTTGTTGAAGCTTTAGAACAAATGTCAAGTTATCTTAAATTCTTGAAAGATATTCTAACCAAAAAGAGAAAATTGAAAGATTTTGAGACAATTGTTCTTATTGAGGAGTATAGTGCTATAATCCAAAATAAGCTTCCACCAAAGCTTAAGGATTTAAAGAGTTTTTCTATTCCTTGCACTATTGATAGTTTTAAAATTTCTAAAACTTTGTGTGATTTGGGTGCTAGTGTTTCAATAATGCCTTTATCTATTGCTAGAAAACTTGGATTTCAAGAGATATAACCTACTACAGTTATCTTGCAATTAGCAAATAGAACAATCAGGTACTTAGTTGGGATTATACAGGATGTTTTGCTTAAAGTTGGGCATTTATACATTCTAGTGGACTTCATTGTGCTTGAGATTGAATATGATGTTAAAATTCCTCTTATTTTGGGAAGACCATTCTTAGCTACAACTGGAGCAATTATTGATATGAAGAATGACAAAAAAAGTTTTAAAGTTGGAAAAGAGGAAGTGATATTCAATTTGTTCAATGCAACATAGTATCCCTATACAGATAGTTGCTATAAAGTGGATTTAGTTAATGAGAGTAAAGGTAAGCCTAGTCCACCACCTTCAACAGAGCAAGTGCCAACTCTTGAGACAAAATCACCACCACTTTTCAATCATCTTGATTTTATGGTTGGACAATGAGTAGTATTTTCTTATTCACAACTCCATCTTTTGCCATGAAATCTTAGACTATATTAGGGGAACACCTTTAAAGTGGTAAAAATTCATCCTTATGATTTTATTGAGATTTATAGTGAGCTTACCGAAGCAATCAAGATCAATAAAGAAAGTCTTAAGCCGTATAAAGTAGTGCAGAATGGGATGCCATAATCATGCTAGTGATTATAAAGAAATGCTTCTTGAAAGACAATCCAAGCACTCTAACTAACTTTCTTTTATTTTCTTTTATTTATTTTTATTTTTTTAATTAGTAAATTATTAACACTCTTTTACCGATGCAAGTACATGTAAAAAAATTCAAAAAAAAAAAAAAGGTAAGCCGCGACGTCCCAGACGTAGAATAGCACGAGCCGTGACTCACTAGGCTCTAAGTTGTAGCTCTGTTGAAAAAAAAAATACACATAGGGTAGGCCGTGGCCAAACCTGAAGTGGGCTGCCAATTACCCACTACCCTCTATTGGGCTGCCAATATTGGGAGCCCACTAACCAAACCCAATCCGCTTCATTTTATTTGGGCAGCCCACTAACCCATAAACCCCCTTTGTTGTGGGTTGCCCACTCCCCATAACTCCTTCCCCCCAACCTTTTTTTTTTATATGGGCTGCGAACAATGGGCAGCCCAGTACCCAATAAAACTCCTTTTTTATTCTTTTTAGTATATTTTCTCTACATTAATCGTTATTTATTTTCTTTTTGCAGTAAAAAAAATTCCTCTTAAAAGGTGAGAATGAGGAAGATGACAATAAGGAGAATGAGGATTAGAGCTTCTCCAAAATTCATCCAATCATCAGGGGTGTGTTATTTACCTTTTTTTTTTCTAACAGTGAAGATAATGTTTAGTTTAAGTTTGGGGGCGTGAATTTATTTTTCTGATGATGAATATTTAGTAGAAGTTTTAGATTTAATTTTATTTACATGTTTATCCAGATTTATAAATAATTTCAGATTAGTTGGTAAATGAATTTATTTCTTGTTTGGATTTTAGAATCTAGAGTAAAGTTGTGTCAATATTTTTCGATGATTTTCCTATCCAATAATGATAACTGGTTATCTTGAATTCTTATCTTTTGGTGAATAAGGTTTTTGTTTGGATTGATGCTAAATTTTTTTGTTAAGTATCATTATTAGAATGTGATTTCCATAATTTTGAGTACTATATCTTTTATTTTGAATTATTATAAATATTTAGAGAAGGTTTATATTTATGTAAATTTTAGATTATGTCATGAATTCTAGACTTTACTTGATTTTCTCTTGAGGCGAAATCCTAGGCAATACTTAGTTAGGGAGATGATTTAGGTCATCTTTAGATCGTTTGAGCCTAAAAAGCCTACCTTGTTAAATTTTTGTCCATAGTATACCACTTTGGGCTTAATTTCCCTTTTCTTTGTTTAACTACATAATAAATGAGCTTAGCCTTAAAATAATTGTTTTCAATGTTGCAACCCTTACTCCTAAGCATGTATATTGTTTTAGGAATTTAAATTGAGCTAAATATTGTAAAAGATGGAAAGGTGATGTTGATGTAAAAAAAAAAGGTTCAAGATATTAAAAATCACCCCACTACCTATAATAAAAAAATAAGTTTGGGAGTGAGAAATTGTGAAATTGTGAAAAAAAAAATGTGTTGAAAGGAAAAAGTTCAAATGTGGAAGAAAATGTGTACTTGGAGAAGGAAAATAGAGCTCTATAGATAGGTCCTAGAATAATTATGTGCTTAGGGTGATTTAAGCCACATTAATATCCTTTATTCTACCTTGACTCTAGCCATATATTACAAGCTGATTAAAGTCTTATTGATCCCTAGCTTTGTATTGGTTTTCACTAGTGGAGAGAGAGATGAAAAGTAAATTCATGGAATTTAGTACTAATTTGAAATTTGCATTGGCATAGACTCATTTGGATATTATGATATTCTTGGTAAATGATCACACACACACACACAGAAATCCATTCGAGAATGTGCTTGCATTGGAATTAAAGCATGAATTTAAATAAGGCCTATATTTTCCTTAAGTTAATCATTGATAGACATACTTTTGAGAAAATTCTGTGAAATCATTGAGTTGGTACACTTTATCTCTACTACTACTAACAGTAGTAGTAGTAGTAAATATATTTATTTTAGTTTTTATTAATTGAATTTGATTTTCATAAGTTAGTTCTTTTTTATGTTTTGCTTGAGGACTAGTAAAATATTAAGTTTGGAGGTGTGATAACTCTATAATATAGAGTTATTTGAGCTTAATTTTCATAGTAATTTAACTTAGTTCTTGTAGTAATACATAAAAATTAGTAAGTTTTATTTAAGTATTTTAAATTAGTTATTTTAGGTGAGTCAATTTAATCTTAGTTAATTTTATCTTAATTTGGTGTTAATATGGTTAAGATAGGTTGTTACTAATTTATTTGTGTTTTTGTAGGTGTTTGATGAAAGAAGAATTTTAATGAAAGAATGAGAGCAATTTCAAAGTGCAAACTTCTATTACACATATTTTGATATTTTAGTCATAACTCTATCTACAGAGATCCAAATGAGATAACTCTTAGACCATTAGAAATTGAGAAAAAGCTACAACTTTTATGTTTATTACTTTGTCCAGTTTAGCTTGATATGTGGTCAAATATCTTCTCAAAGTTGATGTACTATAATAGTCATAGAGTAAGTACGATTTCTGTTAATTAATTGGCAAGGCTGCAACCCATATAGTCTGATGAGGAAATCTTAGCTGAAATTGATTTCTTTCTTCACCCAACTTGGTTTACTTCAAAGCCTATAGAAACAACCTTTCGAATGACTTTTAAGAGAAGAGGAGAAAAGAACGAAACACCAAATTACAGCTGAGAGTTAAGCCACAAAGTCATTGAAGCTGAAAAGAATTTGAAAGATTCAAGGAGATTTGGAGATCAAGAATACAATTCTTGAGTTTTTCTGTCTTTTCTTTTATTCTCTTGCTCTCTTGGTTTTGTTTTTAATGTTAAAATTTTATTTAATGATGATGTGTGACTTGATGAGGAACTAATTCATTAAT